TTTATATATAAAAGAAAGAAACGCTGGGCAACCCTAAAAAACCCTAATGGTATTTTCTGTAATTAAATATTTTTAATATTTTTTTCTCTACTAATTTCTAACTAATTTTTAACAATTATCAAAATTGAAACTAAATCCCGAAGAATCCTATCTAACGGTACTTTTGTAACTATTTATTTTTAATATTTACTAATTTCTCTAACTATAATTTTCAACAATTATTAATCTCCTATTTTTCACCAATATATCTCAAATCTTAAGAAATAAACATAGAAATTCGATCTACATATTTGGATTATAAATCTTAATATGTCAGATTTAAAAAAAAAACTAATGAAACTAATGTTAAATAAAATATGAATAATACTATATTATTAAATTTTACTATATTAGTATACTATATTTTCTTATTATGCATTAAATTGATTATTTTTTTAACTTTCGAAATAATATCCCGTGCATCGCACGGGGAAAAAATGCTAGTATTGATAGTAATAATAATAGTAATATTGATATTAATATTGGTACTAATACTAATATTGATACTCGTACTACGGGTACTTATACTGATACTAATTCTAATACTAATACTAATACTAATACTAAAACTAATATTAATACTAATACTGATACTGATATTGATACTGATAGTGATACTAAACTAATACTACTACTAATACTTACTGATATTGATACAAATACTGATACTGATACTGATACTGATACTGATACTGATACTAATACTAATAGTGATACTGATACTGACACTGACACTGACACTGACACTGATACTGATATTGATACTGATATTGATACTGATGTTAATAATGATACTGATGTTGAGAGTCATATTGATACTCATAGTAATATTAATATTAATATTAATATTGATACTCATACTAATACTGATATTAATATTGTTACTCATACTACAATGTTGATAAAAATACTAATACTAATACTAATATTATACTAATAATACTAATATTAATATTACTATTGATACATATATTGTTACTATACTGATATTGATATTAATATTGATACTCATACTGTTACTGATACTGAAACTGATACCGATACTGATACTCATACTGATATTGATATTGATACCGATACTGATATTTATACTGATACATGTACTGATATCGATACTAATATTGATAAGGATACTTATACAGATATTAATACTAATATTAATACTAATACTAATACTATTACAAATAGTAACATTAATACTATTATTGATACTAATACTATGCTAAAACTAATTTTAATGCTACTGATCTAATGCTAATGATACATAATACATATACAGATACTGATACTGATACTGATACCGATACCGATATTGATACTAATATTGATAATGATACCGATACCGATACCGATACTGATACTGATACTGATACTGATACTGATACCGATACCGATATTGATACTAATATTGATAATGATACCGATACCGATACCGATACCGATACTGATACTGATACTGATACTGATACTGATACTGATACTGATAATGATACTGATACTGATAATGATACTGATACTTATATTGATACTGCACTGATACCGATATTGATACCGAAACTAATAATGATACTGATACTGCACCTGATACATATTGTGGTATTGATACTGATACTGATATTTATACTGATACCGATAATAATATTTATACGGATACTTATACTTGTGTTAATACTAATATTTGTATTAATACTAATACTAATACTAATACTAATACTAATACTAATACTAATACTAATACTAATACTAATACTAATACTAATACTAATACTAATATTAATACCAACACTAATACTACTACTAATACTAATACTAATACTAATACTAATACTAATACTAATACTAATACTAATACTAATACTAATACTAGCAGTAATACTAATACTAATACTAATACTAATACTAATACTAATACTAATATCAATACGAATACTATTACTAATACTAATATCAATACTAATACTATTATATGTTAATATTGTTAATGTTAATGCTAATACTAATTTTGATGCTAATGCTAATACTAATTTTGGTGCTAATGCTAATATAGATATGCTAATTATGATTGTAATTTTAATATTATCCAAATCCTTATCGTATTCCTAATTCTATTCATAACACTAATCATAGTTTTAATCGTAATCCTAATCATAATCCTATTCCTAACACTAATGATACGCCTAAAAATTTTAATACTAATAATGCTAATACTAATGCTAATGCTAATGTTAATTCTAATTATAATCTTAATTATAATTCTAATCCCAATCCTAATGCATGTCACTAATTATCGTACTAAGCATAATCATAATCTTAATTATAATTCTAATACTAATATTTATCGTAATCCTAATATTATATTAATCCTAATTACAA